TTATAAGATGCTTGGTATCCGAGCTAAGGCAGGCTCGGTTTCCCAGTATGCTGTAATACTGTGGAGTCTTCCCCTATCCCTTGGGGTGTTTACTTTCATATCTTGCTCTCTCGATTCTGGCATCATTGGATTCATTCTCTTTAAATAGCCAACCCATTTCAGTCTTTGTTTTCTCTGAATTTAATTGTAGGTGTTCTGATGGAATAATTAACCCTTTATTTTCCTTAAAATCGTACGGCATTGAAAACAATTTGTTTTCTTATCGCTGACTCACTAAAGTGTGATGCATGGCATCAGCACAGCGTAGGCAGCTCGTGTCTCCACATACAGCTCTCGCTTTAGTCACGGTATGCGTGGCATTTGTCACACTGTCATTAACCTCGGAAGGTTTCCAACAAGCAAATATCTGCCTACATTTTTTTCTTTATATTTTTTGCGAGGGTTCATGGAAACTGTCTGTAATACTTTGTGGACGATACCAATTGCACTAGTGCTTCTTTTACGATCTTTCAGTCCCTAAACTTATATCAGGAGACCGGTAACCTTGACGAAAGCTATTGTGCAGTCCATATCTCCTCATGTACCACATAGTTTTGTCTTTACTGAGGTTGAAACAGGTCAAATTGTTTCTCTGTTGGCAGCATACAGTTGACAGAACATATGCTGAAACGTTTATCCTTTTCTTTCTCTTCTTCTTTTGTTCCATACTTGTCAAACGCCTGACGCTGTCAGGGAAAAAAGAGATATCTGTAACAGGCCCTTCTGTTTACTTAGTGTTTCTGATATTTCGTCCATATTTTGCGTCGTCAACCTCTGTCTCTCTTACCACTGTATCTGTATATCGTTGCTCTCTGTGGTGCCCTGTCTGTTGCTAGTCTTCTTTACATGACCAAACCATTTTATCCTCATAGGAATATATAAGTTTTGTAGATCAAGGCAGGTGGTGCTTCTTTCCCCAGTCCACTATTATTGTCTTGATTTAGAGCAGTGGTTCTAAAACCCTTTAATACAGTTCCTCATGTTGTGGCGACCCTTTAATACAGTTTCTCATGTTGTGGCGACCCTTTAATACAGTTCCCTCATGTTATGGCGACCCTTTAATACAGTTTCTCATGTTGTGGCGACCCTTTAATACAGTTCCCTCATGTTGTGGCGACCCTTTAATACAGTTCCCTCATGTTGTGGCGACCCTTTAGTACAGTTTCTCATGTTGTGGCGACCCTTTAATACAGTTCCCTCATGTTGTGGCGACCCTTTAATACAGTTCCCTCATGTTGTGGTGACCCTTTAATACAGTTTCTCATGTTGTGGCGACCCTTTGATACAGCTCCTCATGTTGTGGCGACCCTTTAATACAGCTCCTCATGTTGTGGCGACCCTTTAATACAGCTCATCATGTTGTGGCGACCCTTTAATACAGTTTCTCATGTTGTGGCGACCCTTTGATACAGTTCCTCATGTTGTGGCGACCCTTTAATGCAGTTCCCTCATGTTGTGGCAACCCTTTAATACAGTTCCTCATGTTGTGGTGACCCTTTAATACAGTTCCCTCATGTTGTGGCGACCCTTTAATACAGTTCCTCATGTTGTGGCGACCCTTTAATACAGTTCCTCGTGTCGTGGCGACCCCCCACCAAACAATTGTTTTCGCAGCTACTCCATAACTTTAGTGAAAATGTGTTTTTCGATGGTCTTAGGCGACCCCTGTGAAAGGTTTGTTCGACCCACAAAAGGGTGGCGCCTCTTAGGTTGAGAACGGCTGATTTAGACAGATAATATATATATTTTTAAAAATAATCTACTATTGTCCAGGATCAGAGAACTATATTTATGTAGCGGCTAGATGCTGGCCTGCGAATCCGAAGGTCGTGTATTTAAATCCGCATGGTTCAGGGTATTTTTCAAACATGACCTTAGCTCACAGGTCGACCCCGCCTTAAATAGGTACCAGGTTAAGTCCTGTGGAGTAAAGGCGGCCGGCGGGATGTTGACCTCAAACAGTTTCAAACAGAATTACGTCTATGGTTGAGCACCAGTTAGGAAATCAAAGTCACAATCTTGAGGTCAGGCACTTCTCCTGTGTTTGTTGGTCGTGGCTGGACTATCCTGCAACATTAAGGGAGAAAATTAGAGCTTTCGAGCTGAAACGCTATAGAAAAATTGTCAGAATACCAAGCGCAAAGAAGAAATGAAATACTGACATTCTAAAATTTAGGATAAAGATCATGGAGGATTAGCTAGCAAACAGCATGGAGGATTACCTAGAAAACATTATGGAGGATTGGCTAGCAAACAGCATGGAGGATTAGCTAGCAAACAGCATGGAGGATTACCTAGCAAACATTATGGAGGATTGGCTAGCAAACAGCATGGAGGATTAGCTAGCAAACAGCATGGAGGATTAGCTAGCAAACAGCATGGAGGATTAGCTAGCAAACAGCATGGAGGATTAGCTAGCAAACAGCATGGAGGATTAGCTAGCAAACAGCATGGAGGATTAGCTAGCCAACAGCATGGATGATTAGCTAGCCAACAGCATGGAGGATTAGCTAGCCAACAGCATGGAGGATTAGCTAGCCAACATCATGGACGATTAGCTAGCAAACAGCATGGACGATTAGCTAGCCAACAGCATGGATGATTAGCTAGCAAACATCATGGACGATTAGCTAGCAAACATCATGGAGGATTAGCTAGCAAACATCATGGAGGATTAGCTAGCAAACAGCATGGAGGATTAGCTAGCAAACATCATGGACGATTAGCTAGCAAACAGCATGGACGATTAGCTAGCAAACATCATGGAGGATTAGCTAGCAAACATCATGGAGGATTAGCTAGCAAACATCATGGAGGATTAGCTAGCAAACATCATGAAGGATTAGCTAGCAAAGAGAATCTAGTTTTTATTTATTTTTTGACTATTGAATACAAAATCCATATAAAATAATCTGTCAGTGCAGGAAGTAAACGCTGACCCTAGTATTGCCTGCTTGCTGGGGAAGAGGGAGGTGATGCTCCGTACAGAGTGGCAAGCATCACTTCAAAGGGTGGTTAGCAACCTTAGGATATTTTCTTCATGTCATGCCGGTGTGAAGGGAAATGAGCAGGCAGATAGACTCACCGGTTCTGTACCACTTGGTGGTGAACTGATGTATGACAAGCTGGATGTTGTGAGGGCCTTTTTGGAGCTAGGGAACAGTGCCGAGGCACAGATAGATTCTTACGGTCTGAGGAGAATGGCACTGCGAGGAGTTACACGAGGATCTGACCGACGCTCGACACTCAGGAGGAAGGCAAGACGGATTTACAATCAGACAATTACTGGTACCATCGGAATTTAACTCTTGGCTTGCTGCAGAAGATGGTGACGGAGCCCTTATGCTGGTGTCTAGAGTGCTGTGATGTCGATTCTTAATTCAACATTCAACATTCAGCATCTAGTCTCGGAATTTGAAATCTTTTGGCCATATCAATCGACACGGCGGATTGGAAAGAACAGCAGAAGGCATGGCACAGAAAGGAGGGGCAGAGGCCGATCGGCACGAGGATTGGCACGGGATATAAGTGACCCCTTGGGTAGGAAAGTGCGTGGGATCGGGCGACCCATAGGAAGGAAAGTACATGAGATCGGGCGACCCTTGGGTAGGAAAGTACATGAGATCGGGCGACCCTTGGGTAGGAAAGTGTATGAGATCGGGCGACCCTTGGGTAGGAAAGTACATGAGATCGGGGACCCTTGGGTAGGAAAGTGCATGAGATCTGGCGATTCTTGGGTAGGAAAGTGCATGAGATCTGGCGATTCTTGGGTAGGAAAGTGTATGAGATCGGACGACCCTTGGGTAGGAATGCATGAGATGGGGCGACCCTTGGGTAGGAAAGTGTATGAGATCGGGCGACCCTTGGGTAGGAAAGTGTATGAGACACAGCATCATTCATTCTGCTATGTACATTTTGGGTGCTGCGTTAGCGCAGTCGATAGGAGACTCGCTTTCAAACCCAGCTGCGATTCGCTGCAGCCCACGGCCCGTGTTCGAAACCCAGTTTCTTATCAGCTGTCCATACGTGAAAGAGCCCTTATGGTTTATAACCGTGTTCAATGACGCTGGTTCACATCTCCTGATTTTACTTTATCTTTTTGTACAGTTATCTTTGTCTAAGACAGTCTAACATTAGATAATTATCTTTTTTTATCCCCGTTCGGATTCTGGTACCCCAGTGTGGGTGTTTGTGGGGGGAAAGGAGTAGAAATAGATCTACTGCATGTAGTAACTTACCCAAAAAGCCTGAAGGCATAGAAAGGGATCGTCTACTTTACTATGAGGTAATTAATTAGGGGTTAGTTAGTTAGTTGGGTTATCATCATTGCACTCGGACATGTCCATAGGTGCTCAGATTCTCCCCTCAGTATGAACCCCAACGTCCGATGACTAATAGTACCAGTTTTATGTTGATTAACAAGTCTTCTAGCGTGTCTGGTGTGCGTCTCGTTTTTTGCTATGCCGATCTTCATTCCCAAGTCTGCCATTCTGGCGAGTGATGTGGATTCACTGCCCCCAAAGTCCTCTATCCTTCCCATTTCTCTGATTGCATTAATAAAATCAGCATGATCAATAGGCTGATCGTCGGTAGTAATAGCGGATCCAGCCAATCTCAGCTCTTTTATATCCATCGACGCCTGCGTGTCCCGGAACAAAAATAAAGGTGACTCCACGCACAGTGGACTTATGTAATTAATTAGGGGTGTTTCCATCAGTGCCTCTGCCTAAAGGGCGCGAAGCAAACCATTATCTTGCCTACAAATAAATCAAATTTGATAAACCAATTTCTACAATAAAATCAAGCTCTAAAACAAGTCCAGACGCAAGCTTGCGAAGAACTAGAACTTTCTGACGGAGTTAATAGTCCGGACGATATGAAGAAACAGAAGTTCTATTCTCAGAAGGGTGGAAAAAAGCGAATGACAGGAAGTCCGAGATTCCGAGGTAGTTTGTTTCAACATGGCCGACAAGCGAGAATCGGGTAAGTTAGAGACAGTTCTTGTAGCTGATCACAGTCAGAGAAGATTGCTTCGGTGTTGAAATTATCAAGTTTACTAATGGAAAACCATTAGGTGTCTAACTATCTGGAGCAAATTACTCAGTCCTTACTTCTAAACACTAATAGTATCTTTAAATTCAGATCCAGGTTGTGAAACCAGCAGGCCGATAGCTGGCTCTAGTGAGTGCTGAATTGATGTATGAAAAGTTAGATATTGTGAGGACCCTGTGGGAACGGGTAAACAGTGCGGAGGCACATATAGATCATTTCGGTCTAAGGAGAATGACGCTGCGAAGAGTTACCAGGGGATCTGGCCGACGCTCAACTCTCAAGGGGAGGATGAGACGGCAGTATATAGTAGTACAATTTATAGTACAATATACAATCAGACAGTTATTGGTGCCATCGGAATTAGAACTCTGAAATTGGGGACTTAGCTAGCACTTAATGGGAGTGTTTCGAAAGCTGTGATGTCGATTCTTAATTCAACATTTAAATTCAGAACCCTTCTACTGACAACTGACTTACTTAATTCTTAATATCGTTTTTCTTTAACTCTTTGAGGCCCAAACAAAGGTTTGAGCGTAGTTTGAGAAGTTCCGTTCTGCCCAAACAACAGTGTCATCGGCATTCGTGTGTCCGTTACATTTTGCTTCGTTCGTACCAGTTTCTAATGTTTGGAGGTACGATTAAACTATTCAGGGAAAGTCACTCTGCGGAAATCCTTTTAGTTTCCTTTCCTGGACTAAATCACACGTGGATAATTTGAGAGAAAAAAAACAGCGAAATTTTTTTAACAGTTCATTTTCTAAGTTCGTTTTTGAGTGCACCGAATCCCAATGTTCAAACCACAAGAACAGGTCGCAGAATGCATCTTTTTGTGGCCGGCGCTCTGAAATTGTTTCATTCAGTCAGATGTTTTTAATTGTCTTCTTCTTCTTCTTCGCGTTCACCAGCTGTACACTCCGGCGGAAGGTTCTGGTTGCTCATCCACTACTGAACTGCAGTCCTGCTCCAGAACCTGAGTGTTGCGTGTGCATCAGTTTTACAGATCTCATTCTCTTGAATATAGACTGTTGGTTCCTTGCCTCTCCGGCAGATGCACTCCGACTTCAAAGGAAGCTCCCCAATTAGTCGACTCTTACGACATGCTTTTGGGGAGGCAGTGGGTCTATTCTTGTTTTCCCCACAATCGGGCCCTGGAACCCACACGGGGGTGTTTTTAATTGTGATAATGATAATAAAAATTTAGATTTTTCGGAAAGTGATTCAGGCAGTGAATTTTCACCAGTGAAGCTGAGCGATCAGCTGTTCGAAATCTAGCGATTTTGACGAGTTTATTACACAGACAATGTCCCATAGTACCGTATTTATGGTGTAAGAGAAGAAAAGTGCTCTAAACAAAGAGAAAGTACTATACTATGGCTAAGCCACATTGAAATCATCGCAGCTACAGTCTGTAAGTAACTGTACAAAGTGAATAGTAAATAGTGTGTGTGTTATGGCTCATTTTTCTGCCATTTTTTCTCTGAAATTATGCTTAGCACTCTGTGAGAACTAAGAGCCCCTGAGTGATAAACTAACCCAGAAAGTTATAACTTTAGAATATGTTAGGACATTGAACAAACTTTGAAGGTTTGTTCTCAAACTTGGATATTTACTATTCTTGTGGCTGCAAAACCATGGTAAGTGAAGAATTTTTGTGTGAAATGTTGTCCTTGTGAAATTAACACCTGCTGAATTCTTCTTTTCCACTAACTATAACAAAATCAAACAAACACTTATTATCAGATTGAAAATGTACATTCATTTCTCTTCTAAAAAATATATACTTTTATAGGGATTAGAAGAATATTACAATCTCTACAGCCTTTCTTGTACACCCATCCCTCTGCCATTTTTGTAAAGAGAAATTAATTGGTCCAAGTCTGTCAAAATTCATGGGCCTGAAAGAGTTAAAAAAAAAAAAAATAGGCTATCCTCTGAATAACGGTCCTAAATTATCAAGGCGGAAAGTATACCCTAACAGGGCCTCAGTCATGTGTCAATTGCCCACTTCCGTCGTCGTAAATTGCGCACTTCCAGCGACTTCCGCCGCCGCCAAGAGTATCCCCCACGCTGCTCACATGGCGGGGATTGGGGCTAAACTAAATGGCTGGGACTCACGAGCAGCAGCTACCGCATCTCCTGCAGCTTCCTTCAATTTTATTTGTTTGTAAGTCGCCGCAAGTGAGCAGTTGACATGTGACTGAGGCCCTGTTAAGGTATATTTTCTGCCTCGATAATTTGGGACCATTATTTGGATGATAGCCCATTCTTTTCTGGGGATTTGACAGCATTAATTTTAAGCGGAATTTCTTTACTGCAACAGGACAAAATAAGCTAAAACCTTCCTGAAGAAAAAGTATTGGCTGCATAGGGACATAAAATTATGTATCAAATTCAAGAGAAATGAGAGCAGAATAAATGTAAACTATTTAAGTGTCAGTATTACAGCGACATATTATTAAAATTACACAATATTTAAGGATGTTAGACACATATAAGGTCGAATATTATAAGCGGTGGTAGGGAGGCGGAAAGCAGTGGTGGGACCTGGCTGCACTTTCTCGTCGGATGTAGGTGGTTTAGGTGTTAAGCCCAATTCTGGATGTTTTGGTATAGTTAAAAGCATCAGAAAGCCGGGAAACCCGCTCTAACCAACCTCAAAAATATTGGACTGACCGTTACGTCATCCTGGGGGAAGATATTGCGAAAGCACCCATATGAAGAATTATTTACGCAAAAAATTGTGTGTTTACCTTATGTTTCACTTGTTCAGCAACACTGCTAGCTATCTGTTTCTAAGAACTGACATGTCTTCTCTGTTTAATTACATATCAGCGAGTCTTTATTTGAAACAGTTAATTTAAGTACTTTGGATGTTATGACCATTTTTGTATGACCCGTCAGATTTCACAACAGCCGAAATCGTGAAAACAGCTGATCCTGAAACACAGATGATCAAAATGAACAATGTTATTCTGTCTTCATCCTAACCTATTTATCGACACAGATTTGGCACACACATTATCAATCATAATATCTTCTTCTTCTGCGTTCATCCGAAGATGTGATTGCGTTGTGTCTATTTACAGCGTGGCTGCGATATTTGCACCTTTCTGCCAACACATCCGACTTCTGCGGGCATTTGTTGACCGGGTTAGCCTTCCTGGTAATCATAAAGTCAAGACTATTTCACTATCCATCACAATCCACCTGAAATAAACTCTGTTTCTTACCAGCTGTCCTGTCTCAGGCATTGCCCTGCCCAAGGTGCCTTTTATGTCCAGTGCCCACCTTTATCCTGGTCAGTCCATGCGCCTCCGGCCCACTACCCTGCCCTCTGCTTCTTCTTCTTCTCTTCCACCTTGTACCTCATCGAAGTGTCGGGGGGAGATGTAATGTTCGTTGATGATCTCTGTCAAGAGCACTATTGAGACTGATGTTCATTTCTGTAAGGCTGTTCCCTAATGCCATCACTCTGAGGTCTTCCACTCGCTCTATACCCGTTGTAACGTTTTAGTGTGGCTCGCTGTGGCTGATAGTACCAGGGCATTCTTCGTTAGGTGTCAAGACCACTTCATTTGTTGTTCTTTGATAACCTGTAAGACTGGCTTTATTCCTATCATTAGTCTGATTTCATGATTTTGTATTCTGTCTTTCCTTGAAACTCCTGCAGCTCTTCTGAGGCATTGCATCTCTGTTGTCACAATTTTACGTTCATTGGAGGATGTAAGTGTCCACGTTTGGCATTGATAGAATAGTGTTAGCCAAAAAATAGTTCTGATAAGATTCACTTTAGTACTCCAAAGTATCCGCTTGTGTGTCAACAGGGGAGATAGTTGCCCTGCCCTCTGCTACTTTTCTTTTATTTCTCTTTCTGCACCTGAATTATTGTTCATGTGACAGTTTGAAGATTAACTGACCACAAACTCTCGACAAATTGTCAACAGTACGAATCAAAGATGGCCAGCAGATGCGCGTGTTGGACGAGGCGGCCAGGCGGCGCAGGCAGCGTAAAGCCCTGGAGGCGTTGGAGCAAGACAACTTTTCCGAGGACCCTCATGCAGATCTGAAGATGAGCAAAAAGGCGCCCAAGTTTGAGGAGGTGATGGATGCCTCGTCGTCCCGTGAGTGATCTGTCTTGTGTCACTTCTACTGGGTCTTTTTCTCTTCTGCTTGCTTCATCTCCTCTTCTTCCTCTGCCTTATCCTCTTTCTCTTCTTCATCTGCTTCTTTTTATTCTTCTTGTTGCTGCTACATTTTCTCTCTTTTTTTCCCTCTTCTTCCGCTTCTTCTTTCTCCTCATCTGCTTCCACCTCCTCATCGTCTGTTTCTTTTTATTCTCCTGTTATGGCTGCATTTTCCTGTTTTTTTTTTTTTTCCTTCTCTTCTTCATCGCCTACTTCCACCTCCTTATCATCTGCTCCTTTTTATTCTTCCCTTGCTACTGGATTTTCTTTCTTTTCTTCCTATTTTTCTCCCCCCCCTGCTCATCATTTTCCTCCTCATTATCTGCTGCTTCTTATTCTCCTATTGCTACTATCCCTTTTATTTCATTATCTTCTGCCTCCTCTTCTTCATCATCTATCCCCCCTCCCTTCCCCCCCCCCCCCCCCACCTTTTTCAAATTTGCTTCATCATCTACTTCCTCTGCACATTCTACTTCTTCTTCCACTTCTTCTGTTTTCTTCTGGTGCTGTTGAACTTGATCTTTTCTGTTCTTCCTCCTCACCCGCTTCCTCATCTTCATTTCCTGCTTCTTGTTGTTGTCCACTTCTTTTGCAGCTGCACTTTCCCTCCTGCTCACCTCATTGTGTGTTTGCTACAGTTGCAGGGTTGAAGAAGAAGAGGAAATCCAAGGGAGACTTCAAGCTGAGGTACAGGAAGACTTTTGCTGCCCTGCTAGAGGAAGTGGTAAGTCGGTTTGTTTGCTTCCCCACGCCACATACGGTGGACTCCATTCACCATGCTTGAGGACCTTGATTTTGCCTTGGTTAGGGAGTTTAAATATCTAGGAAGTATGATCACGGAAGATGGTAGAATTGACAGAGAAATAGAAACCAGATATCAGACAGCAAGAGCACATATACCAATTGTCACCATTATTAAGACATCCAAGCATAACTATGAGTGCACAGAGACAGATTATAAACAGCATATTCATTCCAACATTAAGCTACCAGTGCCAAACATGGACACTATCTAAAGCTCACATATATGCAGAATCCCCACCTGCGAGAAGCGATGCCTGAGAAAAGCAGCCAACCTAACCATCCGAGATCGAGTGAATAATGAAACTATCAGACGTTCTGGTATTCCTGGCTAACACTGATGAATACTTCTACAGTAAAGAACCCTTTCTTGGGGTCTTCAAACATATTAGGCATATAGGGCTAGACCTATATTTTATAGACCAATCAGTGGGTGATGAGGTCAACAATACAATCTTCGCGTTCACTGGCTGTAAACTCTGGAGGAAAGTTCTGGTTGTTCATCCACTTCTGGACTGCAGTCCTGTTCCAGAAACTGAGTGTTGCGTCTGCATCCATTTGACAGATCTGACTAATTTGTATGCAGACTGTTAGTTCCTTGCCTCTCATGCAGATGCACTCCGACTATCGAAGGAAGCACCCAATGAGTTGACTCTTATAACATGCTTTTGGGTAGGCAGTGGGTCTGTTCTTGTTTTCCCTATAATAGGGCCCCGGATCCCACATGGGGAGTGTTAGGGACTCAAGCTAGGTCTCACCTTTTGAGATAGTGCTGCCTTTAGAGTGTGCCATTGTGTATACTTAGCACAATTTAACAGACATTTCAGTCATTTGCCATCAATTCATCGTCCTGATTTGTTGTTAGTCCATGAATAAACTCGACTGTTGTACTAGCACAACTGACTTTAAATGGTCTCTTTAGTATTGTTCATGCTGTGCTACAATAGTGTTGGTGGTACAATGTTGCCTGGGTGTACCTATGCCACGTCAGTATTCTCTTGTAGGGAACGCAGTAGTCGTCGTGATCGCCGGCTCAGTAACTTGTGCATGTGTGATTGAAGTATAATCACCACCCTAGATACTTTTGCCAAATATGTGATGCCAATTCTTGTATCGCAAATTCATCATCATCATCGTCATTATAAACCAATTTTGCCGTTAAGTGTCGTGGGGAGGAATAAATTGTGATCCAGTGCATGCTGGCTGTCACTGGCTATTGTCATGCCGTGAAGGCGTAGAGTGTCTTTAATGTTGTCGATCCATGTTTTCCACGGCTGTCCTCTTGCTCTTGTAGCTGATCTTCTGAGATGTAGTGCTTGTGATGATATTTGATCTTGCTGCATTCTAACGAGATGGCCAAACCACTTGATCTGCTGTTTCTCGATGAATCTAGTACAAGTTGTTGTTCCCGCAATTTGTCTGATAGTTTCATTATTCACTCGATCTCGGATGGTTAGGTTGGCTGCTTTTCTCAGGCATCGCATCTCGCAGGTGGGGATTCTGCATATATGTGGGCTTTAGATAGTGTCCATGTTTGGCACTGGTAGCTTAATGTTGGAATGAATATGCTGTTCATAATCTTTCTCTGTGCACTCATAGTTATGCTTGGATGTCTTAATAATGGTGACATTTGGTATATGTGCTCTTGCTGTCTGACATCTGGTTTCTATTTCTCTGTCAGTTCTACCATCTTCTGTGATCATACTTCCTAGATATTTAAACTCCCTAACCTGATTCAGGGCAGAACCATTCAGCTGTATGTGTAGTGGGGCAGGAGTTCTTCTAACTTGCATTGTTTCAGTTTTTGTTTGCATTGATCTTCATGTTGTATTTACTGTATGCTGAGTTCAACCATATACAGGCATATTACAAGCGTCTAAGTACATCTCTACAAACTCGACATCAGCCAGACCAAATTACTTTAGCTCAAATGTGACTTTTCAACCAAAATAATCTGTCATAGTGTTTTTTACATTTTCTTTTTTTTTAAGCATATGCAGAATAAAGACGGACCCTCGTACATCACGGCGTGTGCTCCTCCCTCCCAGCTGCCGGAACGACATTTCTGCTCTGTTTGCGGGTATCCTTTTGTCAGTGTGGAAAATATGTTAACTCTTTCATCCCGAGAACTCTTCAAAACAAAAATTTAAGTCATGACCCCATTAGGATTGTTGAAGAAAAAAGTGAAAACAGCAATTTTCTTTTTTCAGACACAGTTCCCTAAAAATATAATGCTTGGTTTGGGCATGTGGTGGTGAGATATGATTCAGTTTGCAAAGACTGTACTTCAAGGACATTAGAGAGTAGTCGAAGAAGAGGAGGGCAAAGAAGAACCTGGAATGACAACATAAAGAAATGGACACGACACTGAGTTATCATACACTTATTCATCAAGCAGAAGACAGAGAAAGATGGCGGGGTTTTATGTGCTAGTGCTTCGATCGATACACCTCCACAACCCTGATGGGTCAAGGTTTATGTTATGTTTACGGTGTTATGTTAATACATATAATGGCATAACAGGACAATGAATGAAGTAAACTAATAAGAATATCCCGAGTGCTGTGATGTTGGTTGTTGACTTACCTTTGTATTGATTTAGCCTTGACATGGTTGCCAGGCAATGTTCTGGGATATAAACGGCAGCCAGGATTGATACTGACCTCTTTGCTCATGGAATCCCACTGATCTATGAGAAGGAAGGGCTAACTCTAAATGCTCATGGAATCCCACTGATCTATGAGAAGGAAAGGGCTAACTCTAAATGCTCATGGAAGCCCACTGATCTATGAGAAGGAAGGGCTAACTCTAAAATGCTCATGGAATCCCACTGATCTATGAGAAGGAAGGGCTAACTCTAAATGCTCATAGGAATCCCACTGATCTATGAGAAGGAAGGCTAACTCTAAATGCTCATGGAATCCCACTGATCTATGAGAAGGAAGGGCTAACCTCTAAATGCTCATGACACTGAGGTGTGGCAATGATTCTTTGCTGGCGTAAGACTGTCTTTATGTCAGTCCATTAACCCTTTCACCCCGAAACACTACGAAAAAAATAGGTCATGAACCCAGGGGGAATCAACTCTGTTCCGTTTAAAAGGCCATGCATTTTACGCAGGTCCACTAGCAGATTTGTTTTAAAAATGTATATCTAGATTTAAAAGAAAATTTCAAAACATAAAAAGGGAGTAATCATGTAATAAGTACTAATGAACAAAGTTGAGTTGATTCAAGAACTGACATCACAGCTTTAGTGGCATCACATAAGCGCTGCATCCCCATCTTCAGCAGCCAACACAGAGTTCCAGTAACATGGTGCCAGTAGCATTCGATTATATGTCTGTCTTGCCTTTCCTCTGAGCGCCAAGTATTGGCCAGAATTCCCTCAATCACTCCTCGTCAGTTTTCTCGCTGCCTCACTCTCACCAGATAGTAATGATGAATTTGCTGTTTCAAATTGTAGACATGCTCCCATAATGCCTTAACCACGTCTGCCTTGAGTTGACTTCAGAGCACTGAGCGTATTCCCACAAGCATTCTGTCCACAACCTCAGCAGCCATACAGAGTTCCAATACCAGTTGTGCCAGTAGCCGTCTGATTATATGTCCGTCTTGTCGTTCCTCTAAGTGTCGAGTATTGGTCACATCCCGTCGTCACTCCTCGCTGCGTCACTCTCACCAGACTGATGACCATTTTGCTGTTCCGAATTGTACATGTGCTCCCATAAGGCTTGACCCCCGTCTGCCTCATCATGCATCAGAATTCCACCAAGTTGTGCAGGGCCAGCCAGTCTGTCCACCTGTTCATTACCCAACTCACCGGCAGCACCGGAGAAAAGATCAAGTAAATGCTCTTTGCTGCCTGACCTTCAAAGTGAAGCATGCCACTCTGCACGAAGCATCCCTCTCACCTTCCTGATCATGCTTTCTGAGTCAGTTACAGTCACAGTGTGTGTTGTGTTGTGTTCTCTAGCTGTGAACAGAGGAAGGCATTCAGTGTCATGCATTCTCCTGGTAAAGGGGGTTCTTAAATATACAAAATGGGTCTGTAGCAATTACATTTTCTGATTTCTGAATTGAATGTAATCCTTAATTGTAGTTAGATTTCCGTCAAACTACACATGTGTTGTTTGTGGATCAAGATACTGCTGTGTCAAATGTTTAGGCACTCACCAAGATACACGGTAGGTGGTTTATTTATCCATTTCTCATTTACTTTCTTCTTTAAAGAAATGTTAAGTTGGTTAAATTTATTTATTAATTGTATTGGATTTAAGTTTGTTGCAGTTCAGTATTTGCTTATCCCGTTTTTGTATCTTAATTCTATCATAATTTATTTATTTTCCTCGTCCTTTCTTTTTCTACTCCTCTTTTTATCTCCCGCAAAAAGTAGTTCTAGTTATTTTTTCCTTTTTTTTATTACTTCTTCATCCTCTTCTCCTTTTTTTTATTATAATCAATTCATTTTTGTGTTTGTTTCGCCATAGTAATCTTTCATAGCATAGCATAAGACAATCCCAATCAGCACAACGAGACATCTTATTCCAAGCATATTGCTACCAGTGCCAGACATGGTCACTCACAACAAACTGCAGTCCTGTCGCCACAACTGTGCAAGTGAGGATTTTATTTTGCCCATGACAGAAAAAAATTCCTAGCCTTGCCGAGGATTCGAACCTGGGTCTTCCGCTTGAGAGCCCAGCGTTGCAGCCGTTCCGCCAGCCGCCCGTCTTTCATTAAATTCTTTTGTGTTTTGTTGAATGTCTTCATCCACTTCTCCTTTGCCCTCTTCCTCATGTTTTTTCTTCTTTCTCATCCTCTTTACATCTTGAAAGAATAAGAATCATTGTCATCTGATGCCATGACTGAAGGTGTTGATCATGTGTCTTCAGAGCTTGTAACACCTCTCCATGCCATGACTGAAGGTGTTAATCATGTGTCTTCAGAGTTTGTAACACCTCTCCATGTCATGACTGAAGGTGTTAATCATGTGTCTTCAGAGCCTGTAACACCTCTCCATACCATGACTGAAGGTGTTGATCATGTGTTGTCAGAGCTTGTAACACCTCTCCATGCCATGACTGAAGGTGTTGATCATGTCTTCAGAGCCTGTAACACCTCTCCATGCCATGACTGAAGGTGTTGATCATGTGTCTTCATAGCCTGTAACACCTCTCCATGTCATGACTGAAGGTGTTAATCATGTCTTCAGAGTTTGTAACACCTCTCCATGTCATGACTGAAGGTGTTAATCATGTCTTCAGAGCTTGTAACACCTCTCCATACCATTATTGAAGGTGTTAATCATGTGTCTTCAGAGCCTGTAACACCTCTCCATGCCATGACTAAAGGTGTTGATCATGTGTCTTCAGAGCCTGTAACACCTCTCCATACCATGACTGAAGGTGTTAATCATGTGTCTTCAGAGCCTGTAACACCTCTCCATGCCATGACTGAAGGTGTTGATCATGTGTCTTCAGAGCCTGTAACACCTCTCCATGCCATGACTAAAGGTGTTAATCATGTGTCTTCAGAGCTTGTAACACCTCTCCATACCATGACTGAAGGTGTTAATCATGTGTTGTCAGAGCTTGTAACACCTCTCCATACATGACTGAAGGTGTTAATCATGTGTCTTCAGAGCTTGTAACACCTCTCCATACCATGACTGAAGGTGTTAATCATGTGCCTTCAGAGCTTGTTACACCTCTCCATGCCAAGCTGAAGGTGTTAATCATGTGTCTTCAGAGCTTGTAACACCTCTCCATGCCATGACTAAAGGTGTTGATCATGTGTCTTCAGAGCTTGTAACACCTCTCCATACCATGACTGAAGGTGTTAATCATGTGCTGTCAGAGCTTTAACACCTCTCCATACCATGACTGAAGGTGTTAATCATGTGTCTTCAGAGCTTGTAACACCTCTCCATACCATGACTGAAGGTGTTGATCATATGTTGTCAGAGCTTGTAACACCTCTCCATACCATGACTGAAGGTGTTGATCATATGTTGTCAGAGCTTGTAACACCTCTCCATACCATGACTGAAGGTGTTGATCATGTGTCTTCAGAGCCTGTAACATCTCTCCATGCCATGACTGAAGGTGTTAATCATGTGTTGTCAGAGCTTGTAACACCTCTCCATGTCATGACTGAAGGTGTTGATCATGTGTTGTCAGAGCTTGTAACACCTCTCCATGTCATGACTGTTTGTGTGTGTTGTTTTGTTTGTTGTGCTGAAGGTGTTAATCATGTGTTGTCAGAGCTTGTAACACCTCTCCATGCCATGACTGAAGGTGTTAATCATGTGTTGTCAGAGCTTGTAACACCTCTCCATGTCATGACTGAAGGTGTTAATCATGTGTCTTCAGAGCTTGTAAAACCTCTCCATACCATGACTGAGGGCTGTCAAGAATCTTCTCACTTTGCCTTCCTCTATCCCTCTTTCAATGAACAGGTAAGTACATCTTATTGAGTTTCTGCAAGTGTGGATATACAGAAGAATAGGTCTTTTTTTTTTCGTGGAAGCAAAACAAATCGAATACAGGGGTTCTGGAAAGACTGCGAAAGAAAAGAGACTAATTGAAAGAAGGGGAAAAAAAAAGGGAACAGGTGAAATATTTTTGGTCACATTAAATGTCATAACATGCAATTAAAAACCACACTGGGGAGAAAAAGTTGAAGACAAGAGAGCAAGAGGTAGACAACAATACAAGTGGGAGGACAGCATCAAAAGATGGACGAACAGCAGAGAGCCTACAACAGAGACAGAGTGTGCTGATCTATTGCAGCCAGTCTTCATTTCGGAGATGGCACCTGGTTGATTGATTGATCTTTCTTTCCAGAAATATTTCCAGTTATCATATCCTCCAGTTTCCCTTTTCTCATAACATAACCGAAAATTGATGTCTTTTTCTGATATTTGTGATGAGGTACAGTAGGCAACTGTCAGTCCCCAGTGACCATGGAGTTGTGTCGCTGGATTTAGAAACAGCGTCTGCTATAACTGTAGAGTCAAATGTGGGAGTATCTGTCCCTGCCACAAAGTCCACATAAAAACGTTGATACTCTATCGTTAGGAGGCTGGTTTTCTCTCGAATGTCTCCTCTCTATAGCTTTCTGTGCATGGCCTCTTGCAAACTGCTAAGTTATGTAAAGAAGAACAAACAATTTAATTTTAATTTATCAACCTCGTGTGGGTTTCCGGGGCCCCATTGTGGGGAAAACAAGAATAGACCCACTGCCTGCCCAAAGGCATGTTGTCGTAAGAGTCCACTGATTGGGAGCTTCCTTCGAAGTCTGAGTGCATCTACCTGATAGGCATGGAACTATAAGTCTGCATACACATTAGTTAGATCTGTCAAACGGAGGCACATGTTACACTCAGGTTCTGGAACAGGACTGCAGTCCAAAAGTGGACGAACATCCAGAACTTTCCGCCGGAGTTTACAGCAGGTGAACACGAAGAAAGAAAAATTTTAATTTATATTATTTCTTTTATTATCCAGGTGTCTTAAATGGACAGCGTAGAGCTGACCGCGACCATTGCTGCCTTGTGAGATGTTGGTTTCCTCTCACCACCTGATTTATTGATGCTGATGCCTCAAAGAACAATCGGCCATCGTCCATAAAATGAGGACACACAAGTCTTGGAAAAACTGAGCCAACATTTGTGTCTTCTCTGCGCCATGCTAAATATTTAGTTCCATCTGTCTTGGAGATGACTGCTGCTTCCAGAGCACTCAGATGGACAGAAAAACAAGCAGCCGCACATGCAGTAATCGTATCAGGCTCCCTGAACATGTTTCAGAAAACGCAAGATGTTATGTGCGTTCTGAATGGGTAGAAAGCTCTCGACAATCGCACTCAATGTCCGTCACCCGGGTCTGCAGATCTGGTCATGCTGGCGTAAAAGGTAACCAGTGAGCGGACCAGTTGTCAAGCAGTGCATTGACACACGCTGGAGAAAACAAAGACGAACATCGGCAATGCTGTATGGACTGAGCTAGAAGATAGTGGTGAATCTCTGACACTGACATGATTGCACGTATTGGGAGTAAAGCTTGGTGAAGCACGTCTATGCCGCCTTCAAGGCCGAGATAGGATATATATAATCTAACCAAGTACCCTGGAGTGGCTGCTGCATCGGAGGACTGAGCACGCATAGGAATGCCCAATCTTCTGTGACGTCGATTGTGATACATAATATAACATGTTAGCCCCGTTTGGTTCACAAACCATTGTAGGTTTTAAAAAAAATTAGGGAAAAGGGGCTTTTTTAAAAAAAATTCATTATGACATCATAACCAGAACAACATCTCTAAATTCATTGAAACAGAGAGAATGAAATGGTTTGGTCATATAATGGGAATGAAATTTCCCACATGTTGACTTTGTTGCTACAAGGGTTTTCTTGATGAAAATGTTTACATAATAACTTCTAAGAATATTATCCGCAGCATTGTTTCGAAACAGCAGAGGCTGAGATCTCTGTGGAGGCACAAACGCCTCTGCCGTCTGTCAAGGCACGTGATGATGATGATCACATTTTTGTGGCATGAAGTATTTGTTACCTGTCATAATTCTTCCTATTATATAACAATGTGTATATGTCTGTGTGTGAATGTGCATCTGTGCGCAGATGTCCATCTGTGTGTGTGAATATGCATCTGTGCATATACATTTGAGGGTGGATATATTGGCAATATGCCAAGCTCACCTCCATGTAATTTTGGCAGTTTCCAGGTAAATAAATTTTCAGCAGTGGCGGGGCGGCCATGTAACGGCTGTAATCACTGCTTACATTTTCGATCAGAAAAGAAAAATGCACCATTTTACTGTTTATTATTACTCTTTACTGTTTGTTACAAATACGTCGCTCGGTACTTTCCCCATATCTCCCCCAAACATGGGAACTGCACAGGTCACGGGGCAGTCTAATATTTCAGGCAGTGGTGTATGAATCTTACAGTTAGTAATTTAGCATTTCATTTGTCGTGCAGTTTTGTGCTGTGCGCAGTGTGCTTCTTGTGCTTTTTTTTAGTGTGCATTTTTCTGTGTGTTGGTGCAACCGGGGGGGGGGGGGGGGGGGGGGGGATGCAGTTTTTTGGGAGTTTCTTTTTGGGAGGGAGGGATGGCTGGAGGTGAGACCCAGACTGCACTCTCTCGTGGAACCTAGGTGGGTTGGGGTTAGGGTCAGTTGTGGATGTTTTGGGGTCGTTAAAAGCGCTAACATCGGGAAATATAGAACACCTAATGTCTCCGGCAGCTGACAACTATTTAATTGATGAACTCTGTAATTGGGGATAAATTGCCAGTTGGGGATAAACGGCAATTGGGGTACTGTGGGGTGGCTTTAAAAAGGGCCAATCATTCTAGATTTACACTGCTGGGTTCACACACAAATTGACAGTGGTATATAAACAGAATGGATCTGTCTGAAAGGCAAGCACGACCCTCTGAGCCATGTCCCTGTCCATAACCGTACGTCCAGACAACGTGTCGACTTTAGACATCTCCATCCGTCCTCCTTTTCCGTCAGCGATAACAGATAACAGCATCGCATGATTATTGCGACAACGTTTCATGCTATGCAGAATGCCATGTGGTTGCAGGAAAGCAAGGCTGCTGTCCCTTTTCAGCCACTGATGTTGCTAATTCCAGGAATTCATGGAGAAGAAGACTGAATACAGAAGTCACTGGAGAAACGCCTGCCGGAAAAAAGAAATGGACCAAAGAAAAATGCTTTGCACGCCTTCGCAACAGTTAGCAACGCTTGGCAATGAAGACACACAAGGCAGTAAAAACCCACTCTTTTCACCTTCGAAAATATTGGACTGTCCCGTGACATCATCTCGGGGGAGTTATTGGGAAAGTACCCGCAGCTCTGGTTACGTCTAGACGAGCACGTAACGCTTGTTAACAGTATTAACGTAGCTTACAGAACGCTGACTGCTTGCTTACATCATTTATGCAGAAACTTTTCTTTCGTTTGCTTGAAATAGGATTAATCTATACCTTGTAATTTTGTTTCTCGTATGAACTTCACGTGTGGTTTTAATTCACTCAGCGACCAGGATAAGTTTTGACTTGCACCGATTATTTCTCTAAAGGGGGGGGGCCAAAAAAGTGTTGGCCTAGATATCGTTTATATTGGGGACAGTCTTGGAGGACATGATCTGTTGTCTCAGGTGCCAATCCACATGTACACATGGCTGATTCACCGATTTTAAATTGTGTGTACATGTGACTGCGAAGTCGACTGTGTCCAGTTCTAAGGCGAAGAATAATAACTGGCTCGGGTCTGTCCATAAAATGTTCATCATCTTGTGCTGGTTTTTGTGGCTTTCTGATTGATTTGATTACTGTTTTCTTCTGTTGATTTGATTACTGTTTTCATCTGTTGATTTGATTACTGTTTTCTTCTGTTGATTTGATTACTGTTTTCATCTGTTGATTTGATTACTGTTTTCATCTGTTGATTTGATTACTGTTTTCTTCTGTTGATTTGATTACTGTTTTCTTCTGTTGATTTGATTACTGTTTTCTTCTGTTGATTTGATTACTGTTTTCATCTGTTGATTTGATTACTGTTTTCTTCTGTTGATTTGATTACTGTTTTCATCTGTTGATTTGATTACTGTTTTCTTCTGTTGATTTGATTACTGTTTTCATCTGTTGATTTGATTACTGTTTGCATCTGTTTGATTTGATTACTGTTTCCTTCTGTTGATTTGATTACTGGTTTTTTCTGTTGATTTGATTACTGTCTTCTTCTGTTGATTTTGATTACTGGTTTCTTCTGTTGATTTGATTACTGTTTTCATCTGTTGATTTGATTACTGTTTTCATCTGTTGATTTGATTACTGTTTTCTTCTGTTGATTTGATTACTGTTTTCATCTGTTGATTTGATTACTGTTTTCTTCTGTTGATTTGATTACTGTTTTCTTCTGTTGATTTGATTACTGTTTTTCTTCATCGTTGATGAAGATGACTGCTACTTCCGGTTGTTCTTTATTAGACGCACCCTTCTTAAGCTGTTTATCCATTGTTTCATTTTTTGGGAACTCTACAGTGAGATGGTGTCGTATTGCATAGTTTACGCTTGCATCAGTTTGCCAACAGTACAGTGTGAGAAGCTGAACACTATTAATAATAGTATTGTGTTAGCTTGCTTGCTTGTTGCTCCTCTTCTACCTGGGGGTGTAGAGGTTTGCCAGAGAGATCAGCTGACTTCTCTTTCTGGCTTTATTCCATTCCAGTCCTCTGTCAGTTAGGGACTGTCGGATCTTGTCTTCCCAGCGCACCCTGGGTCATCCTGGAGTTCTGGTTCTTGGCCTCCCATGAATATGCTATCTGCTCACGCCTTTCCTTGACAGCCAAGCTACGGGAAGGAAACCTTCACGTGAAAACCTCACCTACCCTTGACAGCCAAGCTACGGGAAGGAAACCTTCACGTGAAAACCTCACCTACCCTTGACAGCCAAGCTACGGGAAGGAAACCTTCACATGAAAACCTCACCTACCCTTGACAGCCAAGCTACGGGAAGGAAACCTTCACGTGAAAACCTCACCTACCCTTGACAGCCAAGCTACGGGAAGGAAACCTTCACGTGAAAACCTCACCTATCCTTGACAGCCAAGCTACAGGAAGGAAACCTTCACGTGAAAACCTCACCTATCCTTGACAGCCAAGCTACAGGAAGGAAACCTTCACGTGAAAACCTCACCTACCCTTGACAGCCAAGCTACGGGAAGGAAACCTTCACGTGAAAACCTCACCTATCCTTGACAGCCAAGCTACAGGAAGGAAACCTTCACGTGAAAACCTCACCTACCCTTGACAGCCAAGCTACGGGAAGGAAACCTTCACGTGAAAACCTCACCTACCTTGACAGCCAAGCTACGGGAAGGAAAAAACCTTCAGTTGAAAACCTCACCTATCCTGACAGCCAAAGCTACAGGAAGTGAAACCTTCACGTGAAAACTCACCTTATCCTTGACAGCCAAGCGACAGGAGGAAACCTTCGACGGAAAAACCTCACCTATCCTTGACACCAAGCTTACAGGAGAGGAAACCTTCACGTGAAACCTCACCATATCCTTGACAGCCAGCTACTAGGAAGGAAACCTTCACGGAAACCTCAGCTATCCTTGACATCAAGCTACGGGAAAGGAAACCTTCAACGTGAAAACCTCACCTACCCTTTAAGCCAACTACAGGAAAAGGAAAAATTCACGTGAAAACCTCAGCTACCTTGGGAAACCCAAGTACGGGAAGGAAATTCAGTGAAAACCCACCCAGTTTTTTTGTTACCTGCTGATGCTTTAAAATTTTTTTGTACTGCTTACACATGCAAATTGGTATTCCCCAACACTGATTTTTTGATTGTTTAGATTTCAAAAGCGAAGGGCACAATTAATTTCCCGCTTTTAAAAAGGGAAAAAAAAGTTAGACAGAAAGAACAAAATTATAAAGAGTTATCAAAATTGGATAAATCAAGACTTCCTTACCAAGCCCTCATTTGG